GCCTCCGCCCCATCAGCGCTGCCGTGTCCTCCGCCTCCCATCATCGCCCACGCCACGCACAGCGCGGAGCTCGGGGCAAACTTCACCAGCGGCATGTCCGTGAGCTACAGCTGCCAGCCCGGCTTCCCCCTCCCACGCACCGCCGTCCCCCCGCGCGGCGGGGGGGGCCGGCTGCTGCCGCGGCTCCCCGTGGCCCCGGGGCTGGCCGAGCGTCCCTCCCGTGCTGGCGGATTCCTGGAGCCGCCAAACCTGCCAACCTGCAGAACTGGCGTGGGGAGGGGGGATGGCACGTCCAGGGACACCCTCGGGTCTCAGCGGGATTCCAGCTCATGCAGGATGCTCTGTGCATTTGGTGGCACTGGGAATACCCCGGTGGCATTGCTACAGCCCACGGTGTCCCACAAGGAGACAGTCTTGGGTGTTCCAATTTCTGAACTTGCAGATTCCTCAACTCTGCGGCCCAAAGATGACACACTGTACGGTGGCAGCGCAGTGGTGTAGGATGTGCAGAGAGTGGAAACACCAAACTGGCTAAACTGGGTGGTTTTTTTTTGGGGGGGGGGTGGTGGTGTTTTGTTACTTTTTTTTAAAAAAACACCTAAATTGGGTTCATGTGTCCTCACATGCTAAGTATTAATTTGAGTATGTCAGAATTTGAATGTCAGAGTTCATAGAAGAGATATTAACACTCCCCAGAGGTGTAACAGTGCCCGCCAATGCGCTTGTTTCTCTTCAGCGGTGTTTCACCGCCCGCACGTGTTTCTCATGTGCACTCTGCTCCCCCGCAGCTGGCTGTGGCACACCAACAACGTTGCTGTTTGCTGAGCTAAATGAGGAGTTTAAAAATCAGACCGAGTTTCCCACTGGGAAGACTGTGAAGTACACTTGTCGGCCTGGATACTTGAAACACCCACAAATATCACCAACTATTACGTGTCTTGAAAATCAAACGTGGTCTGAAGCCCAGGAGTTTTGCAAACGTATGTTTTGCAGACGCTTCTAGTTTGTTTAAATCACGGTGTGAGGACTGAAACCTCGTGATTTCTCCCTTTCCGTTCCCTTCTCCATGGGGTTTGGGCAGACTCCCAGAAGGAGTGTCCCTTTTCCCATGGCACCAAGTTCAAGACACTTAAAACCAGGTCTTCTTCTGCCCAGGGAGAAAGTGTGATCACCCCGGAGAACCAGAGAACGGCAGAGTTATAGTCGTAACAGATCTCTTCTTCGGCTCAACCGTGAATTACACCTGCAACGAAGGGTGAGTCCCAGCCGAGCAACGCTTCTGCTCGCCCTGCACCACGTGGGCACCACGTGTCCTCCTGCGGGAGAGCAGTGCTCGTGGCTCGGAGCTCAGAGCACCCCGGTGCTGCCTGCCAAGGCAACGCTGGAGGAGAAACTGGAGTTCTCAGGTGCTGTGAGAAAACAGAAATCACCCAAACGATCAGGGAAAACCTCAGCATCCTTTGAGTGGTTTAAAACAGTTTTGGCAGTAAAACAATTCCAGTCTTTGCAACAGTTGATTTCTAGTCTAATTTCTAGTCCAAATGGGAACAGAAATTGGTGAAGAGGATTAACTTATAAAATTTTAAGTGCCATTTAGAGGGCACGACCGCCTGAGTCTGGTTGTGTGGGGCATATGAGGGGAAAAGGGGGGTTCGTTTTGGAAGCTTTGGCTTAAACCACAAGTCGTTAAAGTGGACTGACTCTTCTAGAGGAAAGAAGGAAGAGGGGAGGGCACGGCAGCTCCCTGAGCCCCCTGGGGATGTGCTGCCTGCGCCAAATGAGGGGACCAGGGGATGTCCCCAAGCAAGCGAAGGTTCACAGCTTTCAAATGGCAGTGTTAGATGGCAACTACGGCAAGACTTGGTGGCTGTGGGAGATGCAACCTCCAAAGACAGTCCTGTAGTGACAGGAGTGACTTTGTTTGACCCCAGGCACAGGCTGGTTGGAGCGTCCCAGCGGCAATGTGTGATTTCGAGCTCTGGGACACGAGTGAGGTGGAGCAGTGATGTTCCCGTCTGCCAGAGTAAGTACATTGCGGCAGGAGCTGAACACACTGACAAGAAACCAAACACAACACAAAGAGATCCAGTTCAGTGCTTTCCTTGCGAAAGACCTTCCAAGGCAAAGACTGAGAGCATCACCGCTGAGACGGGTTCATCCCCGACGGTTCACTTCCTGGGAGCCGTGTGTGCCCTGCAGACCCCGCGTGCTGCTGCAGCGCCGATGCTAAAACCCACCTTGTACGCGCCCGCAGGTATCGTCTGCGATCCGCCCCCGCACATCCCCCACGGGAGTCACAGCGGGCACTTGAGGGACCCCTTCTCCTACGCGGACGTGGTCACCTACACCTGCGACCCCGGCCACCCACTGGCTGGAGAGCCCTCCATCTTCTGCACCACGGAGGACGGGGAGCCCGGCGTGTGGAGCGGGCCGCCGCCGCAGTGCGGAGGTAGGGCTCTGCGGTGCACGGGCACACATCCCCGCCGGCGAGGCCGCGGGCAGGGCAGGGGGCACACAGGGACAAGCTGCAGAGCAGCGACCATTCGTGAGACAGGAGGGGCCGCGGCACCACAGTGCCCTCATCCCTCCCGCC